AACACTCAGAGTATAAACTGGAAGAATGTTCCCACATTGGTCTGTAATGGAAGTATTGGGAGCTATGAGCTCCTGAGAGATTAAACAAAGTGCTGCAAAATTACACTGCCAAAGTCCAGAAGGCATAATGACAGTCCTATTACTTGTGTGATTACTTGTGTTCCAATCAATCTTTGGGGAAGAGACTTTCTTTTTTTCTAATTAAATCTTTAAAAAAAAAAGGTTTATTGTTTGGATTCTCTCATCTCAAAGGATTTTTTTTTATATTCAGCATTTTATTTAATTTTTTAAATTTTTTTAAAATTTATTTTTCTTATTTTATATATGGATCCCAGTTCCCTCTCCCTCCCTCTCTTTTACCTTCCCATGCCCCCCACACTCCCATCTCACCTCCCCCTCCAAATGTAGGGTGATGCCTTCCAGGAGGGGTCATCTAAATCTGTCAAGTCATTTGGAGTAGGGACTAGGCCCTCCCTCCTGCCTCTAGGTTAAGAGAGTATCCCTCCATGGGGAATGTGCTCCCAAAGTCCTTTTGTGCATCAGGGATACATCCTGGTTCCACTGCCCAAGGTCCCTTAGACTGCCCAGGCCTTCTAGCTGAGATCCATTTTCAGGGGGTCTGAGTCAGTCCCATGCTGGATTCCCAGCTATCAGTCTGGGGAGGGACCCATTAGCTCCTCCTTGTTCAAGTCAGCTGTCTCTATGTGATTCTGTAGCCTAGTCTTATCCTCCCTCTCTGCATCTGGATTGCAGTTCTGCTCAGCTACTAGATGAGGGCTCCATAATGGTGGATAAGTTAGTCATTGATCTCATTATAGGGAAGGGCATTTAAGGTAGCCTTTCCACTGTTGCCCAAATTGTTAGTTGGGGTCAGTCTTGTAGGTCTCTGGACATTTCTCTAGAGTCAGTTTTCCCTTCAAACCTATAATGGCTCCCTCTTTTATGGTCTCTCTCTGTGTGTGTGTGTGTGTGTCTCTGTGTGTGTGTGTGTGTGTGTGTGTGTGTGTGTGTGTCTCATCTCATCTATTCCTCCCCTGACTCAATCTTCCTAATCCCACGTGCTTTCCTCTCCTCCTCATCTCTTTCTCCTAGCTCCCTCTCCACTCACTGCACCCCCTTTCCAACTCCCAATATGCTCAGGAGATCTTGTCCCTTTCCCCTTCTCTGAGGGACCATGTATGAATCTGTACAATAAAGAAATTTCAGGAGGCACCACCATCCCCGACTTCAAGCTCTACTATAGTCCTGAAAACAGCCAGGTATTGGCACAAAAATAGACCAACGGAATGGAATCAAATATCCTGATTTTAAGCCACATACCTATGAACACCTGATTTTTGACAAAAGAGCTAAAAGTATACAATGGAAGGAGGAAAGCATCTTCAGCAAATGGTGCTGGCACAACTGGATGATGGTGTGTAGAAGACTGCAGATAGATCCATGTCTATCGCCACGCACAAAACTCAAGTCCAAATAGATCAAAGACCTCAGCATAAACCCAGCTACACTGAACCTCTTAGAAGAGATGGGGGAGGTACCCTTGAACAAATTGATACAGAAGACCATTTCCTGAACATAACACCAGTAGCACAGACACCAAGATCAACAATTAATAAGTGGGACCTCCTGAAACTGAGAAGCTTCTGTAAGGCAAAGGACACAGTTGACAAGACCAAATGGCAGCCCACAGACTGGGAAAAGATCCTACATCTGACAGAGGGCTGATCTCCAATATATACAAAGAACTCGAGAAACTAGTCACCAAAACACCAAATAACCGTACTAAAAAATGGGGTACAGAACTGAAGAGAGAATTCTCAATAGAGGAAATCGAAAAGGCTAAAAGACACTTAAGAAAGTGCTCAACATCCTTAGCTATCAGGGAAATGCAAATCAAAACAACTCTGAAATACCATCTTACTCCTGTCAGAATGGCTAAAATTAGAAACACCAATGACAACTTATGCTGCAGAGGATGAGAAAGGGGAACACTCCTACACTGCTAGTGGGAATGCAAACTTGTGCAGCCATTTTGGAGATCAGTATGGTGGTTCCGCAGGAAAATGGGAATCAGTCTACCACAGGACCCAGGATGTACCCACTCTTAGACATATACCCAAGTGATCCACATCCATGCAACAAAGACATCTGTTCAACTATGTTCATGGCAGCATTATTTGTAATAGCAAAAACCTGGAAACAACCTAGATGCCCCTCAACGAAGAATGGATAAAGAAGATGTGGCACATTTACACAATGGAATACTGCTCTTCGGGGAGGAGGGAAACAATGAAATCTTGAATTTCTCAGGCAAATGGATGGAACTTGAAGAAACCATCCTGAATGAGGTAACCCAGTCACAAAAAGAGGAACATGTACTCACTCATATATGGATTTTAGACATAGAGAAAAAGATCACCAGCCTATAATTCACACTGTCAGAGAAACTAAGATACAAGGGGAAGAGATTTTCTACAACAAACGAATGCAGAAATCTGTATTTCTACCGCTAATGCTTACCATTCTTCACAAGTACAAGGCTAATGAAAAGAATGGGGTGTCAAAAAAGAAAAGGACTAGAAAGAGTTGCAAGGGATTCCTGAAACTATTTCCAGGACAAAATCATAACTATGGTTTATGGGGAGGGTTCAATGAAAAAAAATGCCATCTCTAAAATTTACATTGAGATTCAGTATGCCTGTATGGATACCTCAAAGGCCCTTGTCTAAAGAAAATGTATAAACTCTTTACCAGTTAGTCAAAGAACTGTTGGAAAATGGGCACATATAACCTGCTTTTTCTCCCCGGAATTCCCTGTTTTTTTTTTTTTTTTTTTTTTTTTTTTTTTTTTTGTTTTTTTTTTTTTGTAATTAAAATCTGGTAAATGGAGACTATTTATTAACTTACATATTGTTAATACCACCATATGGCAAAAAGGAGCTTTACATCCTGGTTTCCCTATGCCTACAGCTGTTTCTAAAGATTGGCCTTTAATAGTTTGGAATTTAATACTATACATATTCATCCTAATAATAAGGCGCATCTTACCATTCCCTCAGTCAATCATAAAGAATCTCAATATTAATGCCTGTATTACCTCAAGATATGACAAACTCCCCTAGTATGTGCCAATACTATGCAGGAAAGGTTTTAGAGCCTGTGAGACAAGCCTTCCCTCAGGCTTATATTATTCATTACATAAATGATATCCTGTTTAGTCACCTCCAAAGAGAAAGAGTTACAATCTATATATGACATGACTCAGGATATGCTACATAAAAGGGGGATTATTATTTCCCCTGTAAACACATGTCAACACTGTGAAATATGTGGGACAACTAGTTACTAAAACAACTGTTAATACACACACACACATACACACACCACATTGTCCATTAAAGAAGACAATTTTAAAACAGCTAATGGATTCAGAAATTATTAGGAGGCATTGATTGGCTACATCCCACTTCTAAAATACCTAATTTTACACTAACCAATCTATTTAAAATTCTAGGAGGAGAGGCAGCACCGGACAGTCCTTTCATATTATCCACCTTAAGAGGCAAAGGAAGAATTACATATGTGTATCAGGTAGATCCTTTACTTCTTTTAAACTTACTTATTTTCCCTACTACATTGTCTCCTATTGGTATTATAGCACAAGAGGATAAACCATTCAAATGGTTTTATTTTCACTGTTGGGGCCAGAAAATACTAATCATTTACCTTACTCTCCTTGCTCAATTAGTTGTGGGGAACCCCAGAGCAAAGTTAGCATCTGAACAGCCATCTTTCCAACCACTCTCTTAGATACTGGTAATTTTCCATTCCCCTATGACTGTTCTCCTATTAAGCATATGATGCAGCCTGACCCTGAAAGAGTCCCAACTGCAGTCTTATCATATAGCAACTTATCTTATAGCAGGACAGCTGCATTATGCTTGGAAGGACATTCAGCCTCCCTCACATCCTCCCTTTGGCCCATTCCCTCATTTCTCCACTACTTAAACCCTGTGGTTATATTCAATAAAAAAGACTTGATCAGAATACTGTCTTGTCTCCATCTCTCTCATCTCTTGTCCCCTCCCTCAGGGTCCCTGTCAACTGACCCTGAGGGCTGAGGCAATTAGTGAATCAGGGAGGACCCAATCACACTCACTTCCCAGTCCCCCCCATGTCTGTCCCCTACCCTTGTAACCTCTCCCCACCAGGAGGAAGATGAGAAGGAAGAGAAGAACAGAAGAAGAGGAAGAAGAAGGAGGGGGAGGAGGAGGAGGAGAAGACAAGAAGCCCAATTTTTGTTATGTTTGTTGTCCATATACCCAGTGGCCAGTCCCTTTAAAAAATTGAGTCCTAATCCATCTTCACCCCTACCAGAAGCCATCAATTGTGGAGAACTATATTTTAGCATCCTTATCACAATTTTTAAGAGTCCTCATTGATGGCTTCCTTTTTAGGCTATTACTTTGGAGGGAAGCTTGGGGGGTAAGGTTGTCACAGAAGCTTTCTATGTCTCTCTTTCTCAACTGTGTGTCTTCAGTCACTGATACCACTGCAAAAGTATTCCTTGCCCTATACGGTCAATGGGGACATGGATGATTCTACATGGTTTCTAGTGACAGCATAGACCATGAGCATCCACATAGTCTTCAGCATCAGCACATGTCAAGGACCTCTACTTGATCTCTGGTGGCAGTACATTTCATGAACATTAACACAACCTTCTGCTGAAGCAACATAGGCCAAGGACATCAACATGGCCTCTGGCAAAACATGGGCCATAGACACCAATATGGATCCTGATGGCATCCTGCCTCATGGACATCAACATGGCCTCAAGTGGCAGTACAGACCACATACATCAACATGGCCCCTGGTGGCAGCACAACCATGAACTTCAACATGGCTTTAGGCAGTAGTACAGACCACAGACATCCATATGGCCTTCAGTGATAACATGGGCCTTAGACATCAACACAGCCCTTGCCTGCAGTATGACCATGGACTCAGGGATGGCCTTCAGCAACAGCATGAATTACAAATTTCAACATGATTCAAGTAGTGGCACAGACTACAGATATCCACATGGACATCAGGCTTCATCCCAACCTGGGGAAGCAGTATGGATCATGGATACCAAGACGGCCTCCAGGGGAAGTATGAACCATGGAGGTCTTTTGAATGGGTCCAGTCCAGAAAATGAACCAATCTTCATCTCAGATATCTGTCTGTTACACTTGGGTGGGACATAAAACACATCCCAAGAACAAACCAGTGTTTTGAAGGAACTGAGATCTCAAGACTCTTGTCTTGTTTTCTTGGTGTGTTCTCACAAACACTCAGAATTCTCCTCCAACAGCTCCATTCCTGAACCATGTTCTAACACCTGGTTTCCAATCCTAACTTACTGTTTCTTTTCCCCCCACAACTTTCATACAATAGGGCAACAGTTGAATTAAAACTTTTGTTTCTCCCCGATTTTTCTCTTCCCTTCTCTAAAGCTGTAGTTCCAGCTCTTACCACCTTCTGACGTTCTTTGGTGCTACAGAAACCTGTCATTTCCCCTGGTGTTTACTGCCATTTTCTGAAATGAAAGCCTAGACTCTTAGATGCTTTCAATATACACATGGGCATTGTTTTAGTAGATTAACCTCTTGGGTCTTTTATTTCCTTTCTCTCAATGGTTTTGTAAGGTTCTGCCTAGCTTAGCCACTTCCTGTCAGGTGACAGCAACCCTTCATAAGTTTCAGAATTAAGCCTCTGTGTACTCACATTTCAGATCCTTCACTTTCATCTCCTAAGAATGTTCTTTGGCCAACAAGGATTGACTTAATCTTTTATCCTTCAATCCTTCATTACTCATGTTCTCAGTTCCTTTATTGTCCAGCTTAATTTCCAAAACCCATCACCACACTCATTGCCTTGCATCACTATCATTCTCAATACCTCTTCCTTTTCTAGTCTTTACTGCATTGTCCATATGTATCAAACATACAGCCCTGGCTAAGTTGAGCCCTAATGAAGATTGAAAACTTAGATATGCATACATACACATGAACAGACTTTGAAGTGTCACTGTACTTTGGTGACTATCACACACTTTTGTCTTCTGGATTGCTTGATGACTATTTCATCCTTTTCTCTTCTAAACCCCAACACCTCCTTCTCACTTTCAGCCATGACCTCATTTTCTGATTCACTAAGAACACAGAAGCAGCCAGAAGACAAATCCCACACATGTATACCTACTGTCCATGACAGTGTCCCCATGCTCTCAGTCCCTTCCCTCCATTGTTCAGAGTAAGCTGCCCATGCTCCCACCTAAGACTATTCTTTCCACTGTGCAGGCCACCCACCCCCCTTCATCTATTCAAGAAAGGCTGCAGCAGCTCCACTTATTACCCAACATCATCAGGATTTCCTGACCTGATCTGTGCATCATATCTGCCTGCACACTCACATCCTCTTTCTACTCCATCACTCCTCCACCTTCTCTTAAGCGCAGAAAGACTCCTGATGTGCTAGTGTCTATGACCTCTCTTGGTCCCTTTAAACTCATCACCCAGAGCCACTTGAGAGTGACTTTTGCATTCATCACTGCACTTAAACTTATCTTGCCAACTTTGCCTCCAACTTCCATGTTGCTGTATCTTTTGGGAAACTTTATTCTCTCATTTGATCTATCTCTCAGGTTATTTTATATATTATCTGCTCTGAAACATATCTAAGAAAAGAAAATAATAATACTCCTATCTGTACAAGAGGCATAATAGCCACTTACCTCTGGCACTCTCATGAGAGAGAAACCTCTTCTCCTTGGGATGCTTTTCTCACAGTCCTCTGCAATCCATGCTGCTCTGCTTCCCTCCTCCTCTGGTTGATCATTTTAATTTCTGACTTTTCTCACTCTGCTATGTAATGCTTTGCTTCTCAACCAAAATTATTTCTTCACCTGGAGACAATTGGCAACCATGGTTCCTAGTGTTGCTGCTGGCAACTAGTGGATAGAAGATGGAAATACTGAAAAGATCAGGTCAATCCTCCAAAGGTCAAGTATATACACTGAGAAATTCTGATTAAAATGTTAGCCCCTTAGCCTTCACTTTCCTTTATCTGTATCCATTCCTTTCTTTTGTAGGCTTTGAGGTTTTACCACAGTAGACTCCTGTAATAAGTTAAGTCTAAAATGTACTTTGAATAAATGTAGGCTGTGGAGAAAGTAGTCTCTGCTTCCCTTCTGGGAAGCACACTAGAGCTGACCATCCCTGAGGACATGAGAGCAAGAGATCTGACATCCCATTGTATGTCCCCTACAGCAATCCAATTGGGAGAGAGGGCCTTGCACCTTGCCTGGACAAAACAGTAGAGATGGCTCTGGTGATAGGAGTGGGACCCAGATCTGAGGCCCTGAGAACAGAACTAGCCCAGCTCCTTGCTGCAGGCTGCATTGGGTGAGCTAGCCAAGGCAGTGATGGAGAGCTCATTTGGGTAGTGACCATGAGGAAAAGCTAGCTAGTTGACCAATCTAGCTATTACCCAGGCCCAGAACCAGGGCTATGTGTAGGCCCACACCAACATCTACCAAATCTATGAACTGTTAGAGCATGTGAAGCAGACAAACATATCAATCCAAAACAGCAAAAACTACATGACACAGGACAACAAGATACCCAAAAGGAGCCCTGGTAAGAGCCCATCACTGGTAGTGTAGCAGAAAGACAAAGCCTCAAACCAAACCAATGACTCAGAAATGAAAACTTACAAGTAAAGATGTATGGACTAAAGTGGAAACTTAATGGGCCACACTACAGCTTCCACAACAAGATTTTTTTAAAAACAATTTTTGTTTTGCTTGGTTTTTCTTTAAATTTACTCTTATTTGGGGGGGGGTGGAGATTGCAAGGACAGAGGGTGGATTCAAAGGGACAGGGAGATCAGTAGGGTCAGAATGCAAAATGTGAACTCTACAAAGAATCAATAAAAGTAAAGGAAAAAAGAAAAATGCTGACACAGTAATGCACATATGTGAACAGAAACAACCAAAAAAAAAAAAAATGCAGGGTTTGTTCTTAGAAAATTAACAAAAAAAGACTTGGGGAATGTCTCCAGTTAGCCAGTGAGCAGCTCTCTCTCTCTCTCTCTCTCTCTCTCTCTCTCTCTCTCTCTCTCTCTCTCTCTATCTATCTATCTATCTCTATCTCTATCTCTATCTCTCTATCTATCTATCTCTATCTCTATCTCTCTATCCTGTGGTGTGTGTGTGTGTGTGTGTGTGTGTGTGTGTGTGTGTGTGTGTGTGTCTTCTCCCTTGCTGTACTTCGGCACCACCTTGTGGCAGTAGTTTTCTTAGGCTGGGTATCTGAATGCTATAGGCTGGAATGCCCACATGTTTCCAGTTCCTCCTGATTCACTTTGACTTTCCAGTTGACTGTCATTTGTAAATTGGATCAGGAGAATCCTGAGTTGAGGCGTACTTTCCCCGACCCACATGTCCCTGTTTCTCAGACATGATGTGTTTGGACTATGCCTAACAAAGATGCAGTGGCTCAAAGGATAAACTCTGAGTGTCTGTCATTTGAATAATTTACTGTGAAGTCAGTAAAATCACTCTGGGTATTTGCCTTAAGTCAGTTTACCTTAGATGAGTACCTTATACCTAGTAAAAAAAAATCCCATAATTCTAGAGGCTGGAAATTCTAGAGTGCTTTCCCTCTGTTTCATAGAATGTTTGCAAAAAGGGACACCTGACCAACCACTGTGTATGTATCTTCAAGCCCTTTTATCAGGACAATAATCCCACTCACCTAATTAGCTCCCAAAGGCACTATTGCCTAATACCATTATGTTGAGAATTAACTTACAGAACAAATTTGGGTGAGTTACAAATATTCAAATCTTGGCAGTGTTTAATGCTGAAAGACCAGCAATTTGTTGTAAGGGTGTTAGTAGGAAAAGAAGATAATGAACACTCTCTAAACTGGATTCCTGGGAACCCAGAGTTCAAACACTTGAGCCTATGGGGAACATTTCTCATTCAAATTACCATAGTGACTAAAAATGCTGTCAATATCTCACTGACCAACAACCCCAAAATCCAGAACCCACTCCTTGTACTAGGATTTTTGTTAGCCTATGATATCTAGAAGGAGTGTTGCCCCTCCCCTATTACAGATTAACTTCATTTAAATTCCTTTACATGTGTATATGAATATATTTTAGGAAACTTCTACAGTAATAGGTTATACTACAGCTTTTCAAAAGGTCTTTAGTGTTAGTTATCTTTCTCCATTCTTCCTTCTCCACCCTGCACTTGCAGCCCCACCCCACTTAATCCTTCTTGGTCCATTATTCCCCATTTGGCTTTATTTATACCACCTGCATCTTGTATACTTTCTCTTAAAAGATCCTCCCCAATGACTCCTTGATAGTCCCTTGAGCTCCATGAGTATTCCAATTAATCACACACATCTAAACTCAAAGCTAATATCCATATATGTTCAAGAACATGTGACGCTTGTCTTACTGGAACTGGGTTAACTGCATTGGGATGATTATTTCCATTTTCCTTAACATCTGAATTTTCATAATTTCATTTTCCTTAACATCTGAATAAATTTCCATTATGTAAATGTACAACATTATTATTCTCTATTCATCTATTTATGGACAGATAGGTGTTTTGCATTTTCTTACTGTTGTGAACAGAGCAACAAATAACATGGGTAAGCAGGTTTCCCTAGAGTAGGAGATAATGTCCTATGTGTTTACGCCTAAGAGTAGTGCAGCTGAATCATATGGTAGATATATTTCTAGCTTTTTGAGAAACCTGCACATTGAGTTCCACAGTGGCTGTACCAGTTTTCATTCCTTTTATTAGTGAACAAGTGTTTCCTTTTCTCCACATCCTCACCAACTTTTGCACATTTGCGCTCTCTCTCTCTCTCTCTCTCTCTCTCTCTCTCTCCTCTCCCTCTCTCTACCTATCTTTGCCATTCTGACTTGGGTAAGGTAAAATCTCCCATGTAATTTTGGTTTATGTTTCTCTGGTAGCTAAGGGTGTTAAATATTTTAAAAATGTTTCTCAGCCATCTTTAGTTCATCTTTTGAGAACTCTCTGTCTAGTTTAGTGGTTCTCAACCTTCCTAATGCTACACTTT